GGGGTGGGGATCGGGGCCCGGGGGGAGCAGCACGACCTACTGGGCCAGCGTGACTATAAAGGCGGGTTCATGACGCTGCAATTTACAACATTAAACGTGAAAGGGCTCAATGCGCCACGGAAAAGGCGATTAGTATTTAGGGAACTCAAGCGGATGAGAGCAGATGTGGCCTTCATCCAGGAAACGCACTTGCCAAAACACGTGGGGTTTAGGTTACGAGACCACACCTATTCCACGGCGTAAACAAAACGGAGTGGCAATCCTGATACGGAACAGCTGTCCGATGGCGATTACGTCATCTGACTGTGATCCGGATGGGAGGTATGTCATTGTCTCTGGTACGTTGCATTCACACACGATACATTTAATAAATGTCTATGCTCCAAATCAGATGGCGGCCGGGTTTTGGGAGGTGTTGCTGGCGAAGATCCGGAATCTGCCACGGGGCATGCTAATCATGGGGGGGGATGCCAACGCAGTGCCATCCCCTGCCGTGGACAGGAGCGCGCATGGGGGGGTACCTAGATCCCAGGGGCGGGGGAGCCAAGACCGGTGTTTTTACAAGTTTCTGACGGAGGCGGGGCTGGTGGACGTCTGGAGGGCACGTCATCCGAGCACGGTAGATTATACGTTCTATTCAGCCCCACATGGCACATACTCCAGAATAGATCTGTTCCTAGTTAATGACAAATGCCTACCTTACGTCCAGAGTTCAGAGATTGGGTCCATAGCTTGGTCCGACCATGCGGACGTAGCTCTCATGTTGGGGAGCCTAGGGGTAGCTTCTCCCTGGACCTGGAGGCTTAACTCCTGCCTATTGAGAGACCAGGACATCGTCGACCAGATTCGGACTGACCTAATAGACTATTTCGCGACTAACGCCACTCCTGACATGCGTCCGGAAACGATATGGGCGGCACACAAGACAGTGATACGGGGCTCTCTCATCAAGATAGCGACTGCTAGGAAGAAAAACAAATTCCTCAGGTTGACTACCTTACTGACTGAGCTTAGGAGAGTAGAACAGCATCATAAACACAGACCCGACGACGGGACATTCCGACAGCTGGAGGCTAAACGACATGCCATCCGCTCCTTACTACTAGATGACTCGGCTAAAGCCATGACATGGTCCAAACGCACCTTTTATGAAAAGGCAAATAAAATGGACACGTTATTGGCCAGAGTCCTTAAGCCTAGACTGCGACGCGGGCATATCACTGCCATACGACACTCAGACGGCTCCGTCAAAACTTTGCCCACAGAGATTGCAGACGTATTTACTGACTTCTTTAAAACACTCTACAACCACTCTTCGAACACAGCAACGCAAGTAGCGACAGACACTGCACTGACACTTAATTTCCTCTCCAGCCTGGATCTACCTAAATTATCTCCAGAGGCGATTTCCAGATTGGCAGGGGAAATTCTCCCAGAAGAGGTGGACCGGGCTATCTCGGAGTTGAAAAGCAATAAGGCCCCTGGACCGGACGGGTATGATGGGACTTATTATAAGACCTTTAGGGAGGAACTGACGCCCCACCTGACAGCACTTTTCAACGGGTTCAGAGGGGGACACACACCAAATCATGACATGTCTTTAGCTACCATTATCTTACTACCTAAACCCGATAGGGACCCGCTCCTCCCTGAGAGCTATCGACCCATATCTCTTATTAACCACGACATGAAAATTCTCACAAAAATACAGGTGAATAGAATCAACCCATATCTTGCAGAGCTAGTCGATGCGGACCAGGTAGGCTTTATTCCCGGTAGGCAATTATTTGTGAATACTCGCAAAAATATTGATCTCATATGGAAACAGGCAACCCTAAATACCCCAACATTATTGCTTTCGCTCGATGCTGAAAAAGCATTTGATAGGGTCCAATGGCCGTACTTATTCACGCTCCTCTCACACCTAGGCTTCCTGGAACAATCCATAACATTAATAAAAGCTATGTATACTAATGTACATGCCCAGGTGAAAATAACAGGTGCCCCACTCAGGCCGTTTGCACTCCACAACGGTACGCGGCAGGGATGCCCGCTCTCCCCTTTGTTGTTCGTACTGTCACTAGAACCTCTACTGCAGGCGTTGAGGAAGCACCCGGGTGTGAGAGCGGGGGGGAGGGAGTTTCTAGTATCAGCCTATGCGGATGACGTGCTCTTGACGGTCACCAGCCCCCTAAGCTCAATGAGAGCCCTCCAGGATGTCCTGCGAGCGTACGGACAGATAGCTGGCTATCGGGTGAATATGGCTAAGTCCAGTGCCCTGACGATTAATATCACAGGTGGAGACATCGCTTCCATTCGGAGCACATACGGATTAAAGGTGGTACACCAATCGCTTAAATACTTAGGGATCCGCCTAACAGCACACCCAGCACAGTTATACAGCCAAAATTACACACCACTGATTAAGAAGCTAATTAACGAGCTAGAGACTTGGTCGGACAGACCTATTTCCTGGATAGGCAGAGTCCACGCGGTAAAAATGAATATACTGCCGAGGATTTTGTTCTTATTCCAAACTCTACCCATCCGCGTGTCGAAAGGGCAACTACTGCCGCTGCAACGGGCAATAGGGACATTCATTTGGAACTCTAAACGCCACAGGATCTCGAGGTACATTTTGTATCGGCCAAAAGATAGAGGGGGCTTGGGCCTCCCTAGTCTATATTTTTATTATGTAGCAAGCCAATTAGCACAGGTAGCAATGTGGCACTCACCCCCGGGGGATAGGAAATGGGTTGATTTAGAATCACTTATGGTGGGAGCGGACCTCCCACAGCTTCTTATTTGGGTGCCCAAGCCACATAGACCCCAGATCAGAGTCACCTGCCCAGCCATTCTTAATTCCATCAGGTTATGGGACACCATGGCACATAAATACGAATTAGCCTCAGACCCTTCCCCCCTTACGCCGTATCTCCGTAACAGGGAATTCCCTCCGGGCATGGCGGCCAGAGATTACCGGAATTTGGAGAGGGTAGGGCTCCAATGCATATGTCAGTTATTCCAGGGTGCAGATTTCATCCCGTTCGATGCCCTACGACAAAAGGGGCACCTTACTCCAGCGGATTTTTTCCGCTACCTCCAAGTCAAAGACACAACAGACAATGACATTCTTTGAACGCATATGCATACAGGAACGGATGCCCAAGGGCTTGATAACGATCTTATATAAGCATCTATCACTAGAAACTAAGGAATGGGGCAGCCTTAAATATATAACCCAATGGGAAAGAGATCTGGGGGAAGAACTAGAGGGAGTAGAATGGCAAGAAATATGGGAGGCCAATCATACCTCTTCGGTATGTGTCACCATGCAAGAGCAATGCGTGAAAACAATGCTCCGATGGTACACTACCCCCACCCAGCTGTACCATATGAGGAAGACTCCCACGGACTTGTGCTGGAGGGGGTGTGGTATCAAGGGAACATATAGGCATATGTGGTGGGACTGTCTGGTGATACACAATTTTTGGACGCAAGTTAGAGGAATGATAACCCAAGTTTTTTCCCAGGCCCCGGAGTTAGACCCATGGGTTTACTTATTAAGCAGATCGTTAGAGGGGTGGACCCGGAGGGAACAAAAACTCCTCCATAAAATCACATTGGCAGCACGGCGAGCCATTGCAGCAAGCTGGCTAAAACAAACGGCCCCCACGACACAAGAGGTTCTCAATAGAATTAAGGAAGTGCATCTAATGGATGACTTAACTGCCCGAATAAGGGATACCCACCAGTCCTTTCAGAGGATCTGGGAGCCGTGGGAGAATTCCCCACTAGGAATGTAGCGTGTGGAGAGGAATGTGGCCCCTCACCCCCTGACGTCCCCCTCCCCCCACCCCCCCGTCTTCTTCGTTCCTTACCAACCTGTCACCCTACTTTTCTATCTTTCTGTCTCCTACGCACCAGTTGGTTCGTTACCCTGTATCCATGGGCGTCCGCAGGAATTTTTCCAGGGGGGGGCATAATTGTAATGACATCCATACTTGGTACCTTTTTGACAGTGTCATGAAAGGGAAGGGGCATAGCCATTATCACATAAAGCCAGGGTGAATAGCGTTTTCACAACTATGGTGTCAGGAATATATGTTTGTATTCCTGACACTATAGTGTTCCTTTAAGCAAATTAAAGGACATTTCTGGTCACCATAACAACTTCACCTAAATGAAAATGCTATGATGCCAGGAAGCCCCTGGGTGCTCGCTTTCCTTTAAGGGATTAAATCGCTCTCAAATGGTTTAACCCCAAAGGCTTCCTCCAGCTCCAGGTCGCTCAGTGGTATTTGGCTTCTGAAACAGAGTGTCAGGAAGTGCAGATTGGCGTCAGGCATGGGTGCCGCTGACTGGCTAGAGTGGTCAGTTGACGCTCTAAGCCAATCGCTAGTTCCCGGTTCATAAAATATTTTTACTTTTTTTATGAATGGGGAGCTACTGATTGGCTTAGAGTGCCAGCTGACCGCTCTAGCCAATCAGCAACACCCCTACCCAACGTCACTCTGTGCTTTCTGACACTCAGTAAATAAAGTGAACACATTAACACCGATATTTTTTTACCTTTGGAGATGAGAAGGTCCAGCGTTTCCCTGCCAGGCCGAGGTACCAAAGCCTTATGATGTGGTGTCCAGAATAAAGTGGAGGGTTCACTTCATTTGTCCTTCCTGCTCCAATCTCCTTCATTTGACAGTCTTTTTTTTATCTTCTGACACTGTTTTCTATCCTTGGCCCCTTCTGCTATTTTACCTTTCTGCTACTTTCTGCTTATTTTGCACCCTTCTGCTCCTTTCTCATTCTGATCCCTTTCTGCTCCCTTTTCTACTTTATCTTTGTGCTCCTTGCTGTCCCTTTCTGCTCCTTCTCCTACTTTACCTTTGTGCTCCTTCTGATTCTTTCTGCTCCTTTACCTTTGTGCTCCTTCCTGCTCCTTGCAGGCCCTTCCTGCTCCTTGCAGGCCCTTCCTGCTCATTCTCCTATTTTACCTTTGTGCTCCTTCTGCCCCTTCCAGCTCATTTCTGACCCTTTCTGCTCCTTCTACTTTACCTTTGTGCTGCTTTACCTTCCAGCTCCTTGCTGACCCTTCCTGTTCATTTCTGTTCCTTGTGCTCCTTCTCCTACTTTACCTTTTGTGCTCCTTGCTGTCCCTTCCAGCTCCTTGCTGCCCCTTTCTGCTCCTTGATGTCCCTTCCTTCTCATTTCTGTTCCTTCTCCTTTTCTTACTTTACCTTCCTGCTCCTTGCTGACTCTTCATGTAGGCTGTCTCCCCCATCCCTCACTTCCATAGGCGTGCGCACGGGGTGTGTCGGGTGTGCATGGGCACACCCTAATCCCCTGCGGCACGCTAATGGATTGAGACCGGCAGTGGAGATCTCTGGATCTCCCCGGTCGGCTCATGCAGAGCCGAAGCTATCCGAGTGGCGGCTCTGGTCTAAGCCTCCATGGGCCGGTGGGGAGATCAAAGTTCTACCTCACCGGTCCACAGCAGCATGGAGGGAGGCAGCGGAGAACCCGGGCTAGAGTTCACTCTCCACTGAACCACCAGGGAAGGCAGCAGGACTGGGATATTAACTAATCTGCCCCCACCTCCACCCAAACATACAGCACACACACACACACAGCACCTACACACAGCACACACAGCACACAAACAGCACCCACACACACATTACCCTCGCACACACACACCCAGCACACTAACAGCATCCTCACAAACACACAAACAGCACACTCACACACAAACAGCACCTTGACAAACACACAGCACACAAACAGCACACTAACAGGACCCGAACAAACACGCACACAGAAACACCCTCTCACACACACACACACACAGCACACTACCAGTTCCCTCACACACTGCACACAAACAGCACCCTCACACACAGCACTCTCACAAACACACACAAAAACACCCTCACCCACATAGCACACTACCAGCACCCTCACACAGCAGTATATATATATATATATACATATATATATATATACATATACACATGGCGTGTGTTTGTGCTTTAGGGTGCACACCCTATTGCAATAGGCTGTGCACGCCTATGCTCACTTCCCTAATCTATAGGCTGCTG